TAGAGCCGGTAATACTGTGATTAACAACAACAACAACAACAACAACAACAATAACGACAATAATATTTTTTTCTCATCATCGTCATCTTTTTCACCTGCTACTACTACTGGCATGATTTATCGAACTAATACAGCATCATCTTCATGACCATCAATTAATTCCACACCAACAAATAGACCCAAAAATGACAGTAGCAGTAGCACTTCTTGTCCAGTAAGTCCAAAAATGCAATTTAATTATAAAAAAGCATCAAATGGATCTGATGATTTTAATGTTGATTATAACAACATTAATGACAACAACGACAACAAAAAAATTAATAATGGCAACGGTGGCGGCAGCGGTGGTGGTGATGATAACAATGGTAGTATTGAGGTTGGCGGCGGTAATAATAATCCTATACCACTGTCAGTTGGAATTAATACTGGTGGTGGTAATATTATCGTTACAACACAACAACAACAGCAACATCAAAAACATTTATTATCACCATCTCAACCACCATCTATTCGTACACAAATACCGTCACCACTTGGATCAACATTACCAATATTAAACTCACCACAAGAACATGACAAAAAATCATCATCAGCATCAACACCACTACCAAAACAAGTATCCCCAAAACCAAATACAAAATCACAAAATAGTCAATCATCAAAATTCACAAGGAATGCTAGAGCCGGTAAAAATAACAGAAAAATACCAACAAATTCAGAATATGTTATTCCGCCTATTAATGTTTTGATTGTAGAAGATAACCCAATCAATCAGGCTATTTTGTCGACATTTATGAGAAAGAAAAAAATTAAATATGAATGCGCTACCAATGGACAAGAGGCAGTTGACAAATGGAAGGAAGGCGGGTTTCATTTGGTATTGATGGACATTCAATTACCAGTGATGGATGGTATTAAAGCAACAGAAACCATAAGAAAATTAGAAAAACACCAACAAATTGGTGTATTACCGTCATCTTCCATATCACAGCATGATCAACAAGAGGGGGGAATTCCTTCATCGACATCAATATCATCTACCACTACCACTACAATGAGATCACCAGTTATTATTTTAGCATTAACTGCATCATCATTATCATCTGATAGAAAAAATGCTTTAGCAGCAGGCTGTAATGATTTTCTGACCAAACCTGTTAGTTTAGAATGGTTAGAAAAAAAGATTTTAGATTGGGGATGTATGCAAGCATTGATAGATTTTGATGTGTGGAGAAAGTGGAAGAAAGATGATGATTCAGAGTCGGCAAAAGCGATTGAACCAAGGAAAAATCAAAGAAGTATTAGTACAACTCAAATACAAAAAACTAGAACTTACATTGAAGAAAATGATCTTGTAGGAAGAAAACCAATTGTATCGCCACTTTTGACCAAAAACAATTCATCCCCATCTGTACTTGGAGTCAAAAAAGGCGGCAATGTTGATGATGGTGATTCAAAAACAATGGAATCAGTAGTTTCAATAACAAAATTGACGACAGAAAATTTAGAAAGTTATCAACCTGTAAGAAGATCATCAGTAGTATCCCCTGTGACATCATACCCTATAACGGCTACTATTTCTTCCAATAGCAACTCATCTAGTTCCAGCACCATTATATCTAATTTGCCAAGAACACCAACAGGAGGTGTAATAATTTCACCTGCTAATATGATACCATCATTACCATCAACTCCTAAAAATTTTCAAGTATCACCACCTAGTAGTATTGATAGTATTAATAGTGGTCATGGTGGTAGTAATAATATTAATGTTAGTGGTACAAGTGCTATTAATTTTCCTATCCATAAACAATCATTCGTTCTTAAACAAAGCGGGTTGTCAAGAAAATTACGAGCAAATGATGTTGACGAAGGTACTAACATCTGAAAAGAAAAAAAACTTATATATATATACATATATTAAAAAAAAAATCTTTTTGTATAATATTTTGCACACATATATACACATATACACACACACATACACACACACATTTTACATACATAATACACATTTTTTTCATTAACATTTCTTTTTTTTTTAAAAATTTAGCAAATTATTCCGATTTTTTTGTGGAAGATAGTGCAAAAGTTTTGGTAGATGATTATGACAAATTTTTTTAAAAAGAAAAAATTATAATGTTGAAAAATAAATTTTTTTCTTGCATAGAAATTTTATTTAATAATATTAATAGTAATAATAATAATAATAAATAATATAACGTATTGAATTATCATGATGATTGTAATAATTAGATTGTTTTAATTAATTAGTTTATATTTTTATAATTAATTCATTATTAATTATAGTAATAATAAAATTTTTTTAAATAACTTAAATATACAAAGAAACCAATATAAAAATTCATCATTATCACCACATTAATATTCAAATGAACCAAGAAGTAAACCAAGAAACCCAAGAAATACCAGTATTCCAAATTCTTGATTTCAAAATGTATAATACTACCATACAAAACACCAATAAACCAAACAGAATTAACAACCTATCTGTCCAATCACTTTGCTCCAACTTGGTTATTAATTGTTTTGAAGAACGTATTATTGATGTTAAACCTCTATATTCATTATGTGTTGACTTTAAAGTTTTGGATGATTCGTCTTTTATCAATTAACAATAAAACAAATTATAAATTGAATGAATAACATTTAATAATCAATGATGAATGATGATGTATGATGAACGATGTAGTAGTAGTAATAATAATAATGATAACTACCGAGCACTTTTGCAGAATAGACACTTCTTTCAATTTCTTGCTGCATTAATTGTGTGGTACGTCTTAAAGCTCCTGTCACATCACTTGTAGAATTTAATATAGCATCTTCTGATCTATATATAAATGTATTTATATAGATAGATTTGTTTCAATTTCAATTACAACAAACTTCAAATGATAATTATTCGATATCTTAATTTTTTTTTTTAATCATGTATATTTTTAATACATACGAAAAGTTTCTACGTTTTAAAACACCATCTCTTTTATCATAATCATTATCGTCGCCATTTACTTTTCTGGATAATAACATTTCACGCTGATGTTTAAATTCCTTTTCTATATTTTGTTTTGATGTAAGTATTGCTCTTCTGATTGAAGCTTGTATTCTAACTTTCCCCAAATATATATATATTTGCAAGTGTTTGAGAAAATAAAATTTATCAAGTGACGATGATTAAATCATTGATGAAAAAAAAAAAGATTCAACATACTGTTTAAATTGTTCTTCATTTTTTTTCAGTTTATTCAACACAAACTGTTTATCTTTTTCCTTTTCTTGTTCGTCAGCTGATGACTTGACTTCCTATGTCGTGTTATTAACATTATTATACAACTCTTTACATATCTCATGATAATTGAAAACGCTTGATATATATATATATATAAGAATAAGTAACCTCAATCCATTTATCCAAATCTTTAACTTCTTCTTTAATTTCCAAGATCATTTCTTGTTGTTTTAATAAATCTACAACATTATTTAATTTTGTTATTTGATTTTCTAGATCTAGTTGTTGTTTGTTTATATTTTCAAAAAGTTTTTGAAGATCTGGTGATAAAGAAAAAGAACTATTAGATATTTGTGCCATGATATTTTTAACATTTAAAACAAAGAATATTTGATACAAATCCTGTACTACCCAAGAGGGATTAATCCCAGGGGTAGATTACCAGGTCCATATTTGTTTAACTCCTTTGTCCTTCGTCTAAACCCAATTCACAAATACTAGCTAGCTTTACAACACGTGAAGCATCAAAGAATTAAAGAATCCAAATATGCTACACCGTCAGCAGAAGTTGCGGGTACTGATAATATTTTATATCAATAAAGGACAACAATCGCCAAAATCATTGAAATTGATTGAGTAATTCAAAAGATTGTATATATCATTAAACATGATTTTTAAATATAATGATTTATTTATATTCTTTTTTTAGAGTTGGCAATGCCAATTATGTATTTCTATTAATTTTTTGGAAGAAAAAAAGATTAATACAAAGTGATGCACAATTCTAATGCAAAACCTATTGAATCAAACTTTTTTACACAAAATATTGATAATAATTGGAATATTAAATGTACAAAGTGTTGATATAGAGATGGAGATATTTTATGTAATTATAGCATCCAACAATTGATTCAAGAGCAACATGGAACTTAAAGGTACATTTAATTCATTACTTTGAATATTTAATTCATAATAAATATTATTTGTTATATACAGTATACATATACAGTATATTAACATATGATCTGTTATAATAATAAAAATTTGTTATGCATTTCATGTGAAACTACTTCATTGCTCCAAAATTAAACATGACATGTATAACATTTCAAAAAAAAGCATTGGAAGGTCATTGGTCCTCAATTTATCACGTGATTGTTTTTTTGATTGGACCATAATATTGATGACGTGTAAGCTTTCCAACCTTCCAATGCCCTCTATCATTGAAAGATTGGAAGTTCCAATTTCTTTCAATCTTCCAATGGTTTTTTTTAAAACAATTTATTTTTGATGGAGTCCAAGATGACAAAATGTGAGTGTTGTTATTTGGCATGATTTGGTTCTGAAGAAGTGTTAATAACTAACCAGGGGGACTTTTTTTTATTTGTATTGATATATATAAGTCTTTTTTAGTTATTATAAATATTTTAATTGAGTCAAAACATGGAGCAGAACTTCTGGGGTGATTATAAGATTCCTATCAAGATAGTAATGATTGGTATTTTTCTTTGCATAATCATAATCATATTATTGTTATTATTATAAATATATAATTACATGTCAAGGCAGCACATCATTGAAAAGAAACAATTGATATGCAACATTTACAGTTTTCAAGACACTCATGCTACTTTGAACATTATACAGTCATTCTCTCATGTTCCTCATGTTCACAAGGCTAATCTGATTGCAAGGTCCTAATGATACAATGGTGCAACAGAATTCCAGGCGGGGAGTAAGCACTGGAGTTTACTAAGACCGCATTGTTGTCAAGGACACTTTTGCAAATTCTATCTAATTTCTCTCATTGGTGTTACTTGGGTGTGCATGCTTGCCCAAAAAGGTTTCCCGCAATGATCCTACACTCTAGGGTAAAGATGGTGGCTGTACAACCAAAAAGTCTTGCAACTCTGTTGAAGAGTTGTAACGTTAGGTACACATAAACATCCAGATCCATCAGATAAATGTTGATATGTTTTGTATAAATTAATTATTCCTAAATTTTCTGTTGTTGTGGGTCCCGAAGATGTGACCTTATGGATAGGTCTGACTGTATATTAATATATATATATATATATATATTAAGTTCGTGTAACTATTGAGACAACGAGTGTTTATTAGTATAATCGAGTTTCCATTCGAATTGTTCCAATGATTGAACTTTTATTCAAATAAACTATTTCGAAACTCTGAAACTGTTTTTAAACTCAAAACTAAAAAGCAAAATGATGTCATAAGTGCTTCATGTGGGAAAAGTATATATAATCAAATCTTTTTTCAAAAATGAAACTGAAAATAAAAAGATTTATTTGAATATTATCACGTGATGAGAATGTGAAGGATATATATATATATACCTGGATTACACAACACCCTAAAATCGTTAAAGTCATACATAATAATAAACCGTAAAATCGTAATTCCGTTAATTATTTATGGTTTATAAGTATTGCGAGCTTGTTATCTAAGTTATTTATTATGGAGTCACCAAGTCTGGCATACCTTTATTCAATAATGTTCAAAATTAAAATCATATACAACTATACTGCTTGATCAGGATTTCTATTCTAATAATAATAAGGTTTATTCGAATAAAATGAATAACGAATAATAATAATAATTCCATAATTCTATAATTCTATGATTCGAATAAAACAAATAAACGAATAAATCGAATAAATCGGATAAAACAAATAATTTTGATAATTAAAACAAAATAATTCGAATAAAGGATAATTCGAATAAAATGAATCAAACAAATAATTCAAATAAAACGAATAAATTTGAATAAAACGAGTAATATGAATAATTTGATTAAAAGCGAATAAAATAATAATCTGAATAAAACAAATAGACAAACAATTCGAATGAATGAACAATAATAATTCGAACAAAACGAATAATTAGAATAAGAATTTGTATTACTAATGGAAACTCTACTCTATTATGGAATCACCAAATCCGGCACACGGCTAATAATGTTCAAAATCACAAGCAATATATAAAACTAAAAGGGGTCCCTAACTAATAATTAATGTTGGCCAAACCATTAATCATCAGAAAGGGTTATGAATCAACCAATCACGTCAGCTTTATTGATTAATTACAGTCAAGGACCAATTTATGTGGTAATTTCTATACCAAAGCGCTAGGATATTATATTATTGAAAGGTTAATTATTTATTTTTATTGATTAATTTTTTCTTTTCGTTGAAGAAGATTTCAAGCATATTTGTACTTCTTGAGATATTACAAATAACATGACTTTTTACATGATTTTGTCCAATAAAATAAAATAGAATGATAAAGGATCACTAATTAATGATTACTTTTGTTAAATGCCAAAAGTACGTCATTGATGATGTCCTGATTAATGATACCTGACGAAATGTTTTTGTGGACAGGAAACTATTTCGTCAAATTAGACGAAATATGACAAAGGGGAGAAATGTAAAATTGATTAAAATAATAAATTTATATTCGCTCTTAAATTTATACTTCATTGAAATGTCGGATGGTAGTCAGCTTCAATTTGTAAATGCTAACTCAAGTGTTGATGACAATTCCTCTTAATTAAGAAGGCCAGCATCTACATTTTACCAAAGAGCCTATTAAAATCCTAAAGGACATTTTTCTGCCAAATATTTGTACTGTCCAAAAAGGTTCAACATGAAAGAAACGTCAAGTCTTGCGGCTCATTTAGCAAATCACTGTATTGGATGTGACACGCATAAAGACTTGTCAAAACATTTACAGATTCAATGCAATGCTCAAAAGTCGATGCATCATAGATACCGTATGTGTGCAATCAATAATAATAACAGGGATTTATTTGTTTAAAAATTATTACTATTTAATTAAATCATCATCATTAGGCATTGAAAACCTTTTACTGTTTGTGATTTCATTAGAATTAGGATATTTTTGATCGTATTAAAGGACTTTCTTTGGAATATGATGATGCAAAAAGGTGGAAAAGAATAAAAAAAAAATAAAGTTCATTATTTGAATTTTAATTTCCACGAATTTGCAACAATAGCAAATCTATGTAATTTTTTCCATGAATATGATATATTTCTGAAGAAAACATGAAATTTCAAATCACGGA